TGATTAATATTTGGCTCACCCAAAATTATGCTTGTATGTGTTCCAAATTTCTATTAAAAAAACGCACATTTTAAAAATTGTTATTACAGTACTGAAGGTGGAGGGAAACTACAACCTTTCCAGTTGCATCCCTGTTTAAAAAGTGACGTTGCAGAGACAGAATTTCTACGGGAAGCAACTGAAGTTTTACTTGTTCTATTGTTGCCAGAGAGGATAGCCAGCTCCGAGACTGCACGTCATGTCATACGTGAAATAGTGACATGTTCAGGTGAGTTAACCAGATGGTGTAAACTAAGGTGGAATTACTGGGTTTTAATCAAAAGCAGGTAAATTGGGTTTACACATGCTAGTTAACCAGGTGGACTGAACTACAGGCAGGTAGATAGAGCAGCTCAGGTTATATAACCTGGTTTATTGAAATTGGTGATTTAATATATTAGGGACTTTTAGATTTGCACGTCGACATAGTGGACTGCAGAATCCAAGATGGCAATAAGAAGACAGAGCATGTTGTTTATTTGGTACATGTGTGAATATGCTAATTGCTCATTTGCATAATTAATAATTCACTAATCAGGAAATTTACGCTACATACTATCATAATTCCCAAAGAAAATTTCTAATTTGTTTGAAATTGTAATATTTTTTCATGTTGTTGTCATTGTCGCTGTTGTAGTAAATTGTTTGTTACCACAATAATTAAAGTTTGGTAAGTCTGATTGTTTTCAAACTTGTACTTACCGATTCTCAAGAGAAATATCACACCGTGAGAGGCCTATGCGTTTACTGCGCAGCGTAAAAGGAGAATTTCTAGTTCAAATACAGGTAATCAGCACATATTACTTAACCAAGTGAATGATGTGTGTTAACCTGGTTAACTTATATGTAGTTGATGTTGCATGGGTTAATTAACTAGGTTAACTGAACAGTGCAAGTGTGTTAACCTGGTTAACTTATATGTAGTTGATGTTGCATGGGTTAATTAACTAGGTTAACTGAACAGTGCAAGTGAGTTAACCTGGTTAACTTATATGTAGTTGATGTTGCATGGGTTAATTAACTAGGTTAACTGAACAGTGCAAGTGAGTTAAGGCAAGATTTTTTATACCTTGTTTAGCGAACCCGCCGTTTGCAAATATTGATGATTTTAAATAAAATAAAATTTTAATGGAAATTTCAGAAAAAAATAAAAGTTTAAAAAAGTTTTATTACACCCTCCGCCGCTTTGAAATCTCCAAAGATCTGATAAGATATGTATATGTGGCAAAGACAAGCCAAACCAGTCACACTTCGCAAAAATTGATTTTTGGTTGTTAATTCATGGTTAAACAGTAAAATGAGAGCAATAAAATGGTAAAAGAATCATTTAAATCCAACATTTCATTATAAAGCTACAAGAGTTTAAACATAGAGCTGTTTAAAGAACAATATTTGAGATATCAGTCTCTAAAGTTTATGATTTTGGTTATTTCTCTAGCAAAAACCATCAGTAAGTTGTTAAAAATTTTAGCTTTAATGTTGAAAATGAGGAAAAT